TTCTGGATTCTTGTTAGTTGCTGGTTTGCTCCTGAAGGGTTCTTGTTAAGGGGTGCAATTTAAGATACCATAATAGGATCAATAGCAAATAATATGGTTTCCTTATCATGGTAACTAACTTAAGTTCAAGAACCCAGTCTTAGGGGCCATGAGCCTTTCGAACCTGAGCCGGTCCACCGAGGTGAGAGTACGAAGTACTACAAGTCATCCGGCGGCAAGTGATTTCCCTTCTCCCCGGCTCCGAAAGAAGTCTGCCCGCCGAAAAGAAACCACGTAACATAGCTCTCTTCATCCGACGCCGGTGTGTTCTTCGCTGAAGTTGCACTACATTCGTCAAGTTTCGGGGTACGCAGGACGGTGCTCAGCCAACCCATCATGCATGCGAGACACCTGCCAGAACTGCTACATTCGACTCAAGCGTTCCGCATGTGCGAGATTCAAGGCACCGGCGCCGGGGCCGAAGTTCTGTCCAACGGTAAAAGCACCGTCGCATCGACAAGTGTGCAGCGAAAGAATTGTCAGAGCCGATGTTGAATCAAGCCCTGAATCCTAAACGTGCCTGAACCTCAAACCGGCCCTATGTCTTAACATTCAATGTCCTAAACCCGCCTAAGCCCTAAACCTCTAGTGCTCAATTTCCCTGTGTTGTGACTCGAGGATGAAGGACACGAACCACTTCAAGTACCAGGGCAGCACCGACGAGGAGTGCTGCGTACCAAAGCCTTGCTCTACGCACCTCGCAGATTTGAGTATTGAGGGATTCGCTGAGGTTGAGCGGTTTAGCATTTACTTGAACGTTTCGAGGGTTTGGGTTATGCGAGAGTAGGATTTAGGGGTTTCGGCTAGTTGTTTCCGTTTTTCGGGAAGAAGTACAGTGTTCCAGGGATGATCGCAGGCAGGGAGCTGGGCATGACAGTTCTGCATCGCAGCAATCCCCTCCCAGCAGAGGCGTTGATGAAACTTTGGTGTTTAGTAGGGTTTAGGGTTTAGGAGGTTTAGGAGGTTTAGGGTTTAGAGTTTTGGGCTTACGGTTTAGGGCTTTCCGGGGACCAAGCCCTAAACCCTAAACCTCCAAAAGGCGGCTCCGGCACAAGGCCAGGGATAGTTGTCTCCAATCTTACAGCTCATATAGGAGCGTGATAATTAGCATGCTCTTCCTGGGGCCCTTGTTAGAAGTATGCTATAATTTTACACCGAAGCCCTACTCTGCTTTGTTCCGTCGCTGTAGATAGCAATGCGGAAGCCTCAATGTGAAGGCATGCTTACTATGATTTCTTTGGAACCTCATGCTGTTTCCCACCCCCCCAAGCCCTGTCCTGCCTCTTCGGGCGGCTTGATTTCTGGCTTCAGCATCTCCCCTGTGTCGCCAGTAGCCTACCCCCCCCGATCCCAATCCACCAAGCAAAGAATGCACAAAACCCTAAGCCACCCTAAACCCTAAACCCAGGCTTCGGGTTCAGGGTTTAGGGTGTCAGGGTCTCGGGTCAGGTTTTTGCAGAGGTTTTGGATTTGAGGGCTTCAGCTTCTAGAAGCCAAGGTACACCACGGACTTCCCCACGAAGTTCAAGCTCCCTGCCTGTGAATGGAAGGACTTCAAAGGCTGAGAAATTTGGGGTCTGAACCCCAAACCTAGACAGGGTTTCGGAGGCCCGAATCTCGACGTCCGCCCCAACCCCAAACGAAAACTAAACCAGGGTCCAGGAGTTTAGGTTTTAGGGCTACTTTGGCAGTTCTCTTCACCTAAGCGGCATCGGAGTTCGATCTGCTTTCACCTGGTCTGACGATAAAGAGGAATCAGAAATAGTTGCGTCAGTAATGTTGGATCTACCCTTACTGCCTCCATGTAACTAGACTGTACTATACTGTATTATATCCCCCAAACACCAAAGCTAGTTCCTTAGGGTCCGACATGAAGCAGGCCTTGCGCAGCCTGACTCTGCGGCTGCGCTTGTAAGGCAGTGTAAGACGGCGAGGCTTCCTGCAAACCCCAAGCTGTGAAGCCTGGAAAGGCCCGAAGAAAAGCAGGAGACCACTGAACTCTACGTAGTTGCACCAGCAAACCTGAACCCCGAACCCTAGGCCTTAGACTCCGAAGGCTGAGTTCTAAACCCTAAACCCCTGAAGCCCCCCCCCAAGACGTGTCTCGCAGCTGCCCGAGGCGCAAGGCGGACGCGGACCTCCTTGGCAGCACCGACGCGGAGTGCTACGAGCCACTTTGGTGCCTTCGCCTGCAGGGGAGAGTCATCATCCAGTTCAGGGTTTGGGGCTCTCTGGGGTATCGAATCACAGGGTACAGGGCTTGGGCCTCGTGGGTATCGGACTCGGGGTCAAGTAGTGCTGTTGGCGACGAGGGTGGCAGTGGTAATCGCGCAGCCAACAGAAGCAATGGACGGAACACGAGCACCAGTTCAAGCAGTCACCACTGTCGTCTGTTATAGTAGCTAGTGATCGCTTTCCGGCAGAAGAACTCTTGTTGGCCGAAACAGGTGTCAGCCCGGCCCAGATATGATATGATATCCGGAAATCCAGAGAGTGAGTCCTGTATAAAAGCCCTGCAAGGAACCCAAAGCTATCCCCGTTTGCGAAAATTAGGGGTACCTAGCTTGGGGTCCTTCTTATAAGGATCCTACTACTACCCTATATTGGGTTACCCTATTTTCGGAAACTCCCAGAGCTGACATCTCGGCGAGCAGATCCCAGGTGCAAGGACCACTGCTGCGAGGATAAGGCCAAGGTCCGAAAGCCGGATGCTGTGGCTCAGCTGCACCAGCTGCCATGAGCTTCCTTGCCCATTTGGAGTTTCCGAAAACAGGGGACCCTAATATAGTACCCTGAATAGTAGGATTCTTACTACTTGTTCAGGCCCATATATTATGGTACCCTTATGGATCCCTTATAGTAGCCCCCACAGACCCCTTTAAAGGCAACCTTATTCTAATTATTAAGGCCTCTGTGTAAGTCAGCCCTTGAGGATGCGATTCAGGGCAGCACCGACGCCGAGCACCACGGTTCCAAGAGTTGCAGGGTTGTCGGAAGCCTGTGCTTTCCGTGAGAAGGGTTTAGGGTTTACGGTTTAGGAGTGTTCTTCGTTTTTCTGGGCGAATGTGGGGTTTTTGGAGACCAGATCCTGTGAGTGACTACAGAAAGTGGTCTCGGGTTCCTAGGCTTCAGCATCCTGTTCATGGAACGGCAATTGCTGGGGTCAGCATTTGCCGGAGATTCGCGTGGCCTTGGTTCTACGTAAGAGACATGATTGAGGCTCAGGACAGTAGCCAAAGCTATTCTGCATAGGAGCCTCTAGTAGTAGCTATTGTTGTCAAGCGTTGCATTCTTCAGTTGCTTAACAGTTTAACAGCCCTGCAGCAGTATTCTCAGACAGTACATATTGCTGTATGCATGGGGGTATGCACACATGCATATGCCACTTGCTGACACGAAGTAGCGCAACAATGATACGGGCAGGATGTGTGATCTGCTATGATGCAAGCTGTTGCCTTAACAGTGCTCAAAACAGCACGGCAGAGCCCACAGAGGAGGCTCTCTTGACCGATTGCCTTCTGGTACAGCTGCTGCATCTGAGGTGCTGCAAGTGATCGGGTCCAGTCGTAGCTCGAGCGAAGGGGCTTCCGAGAGCATCTAACATAGGGGCCTTAACAATTACCTATATAATACTGTCTTGGGGGTTCCTTATTATGATTATCGTATAATGAGCCCCAAAACCCTATTCTGATTATTAAGGTCCCTATATTAACCTGGTTGACTTCTATCCTGACCCACTCGTTTCGACCATTTCAGAAGCCCTGCGCAAGCCCCCTGGGCATACCACGCTGCACATAAGCGGCAGAAAGCAAAAGAGTGCCAGCTTCCAGGGATTTCAGCGCAATGCTGGTGATGACCCAGACATGTCTTTATTGTGAGTTTCGTGACGCTTGCTAGTAGCGTGCATCACCGTGTGTTTCTTAGGCCCTGCAGCTCTTACTACTACTGCTGCGGTTGCGACTGTCCATTGCTGTGGCTGTCGTCTTTGTTGCCGTCGTCGTTATTGAAGTTATTGAAGTACAACAAACTCATCGCCCTTGCGGTTTCTCTAATTTACTGTCGACTGCCATTATGTTGGACTTCACTAGTTTATGCTGTTGTCGTTATTGCTGTTATATTCAAACAGCTCCGTTCGTTGTTGTGTTTTCGGCACAATCGTACGCTTTCTATTCGTCGTTGTAGTTATAGGTTGTACAAGTTCGTTGGTTTGGTTGCGGATGTCTGATATTTCCCGTGCTAGCCCGGACATCCGCAAAGATGTCTGAGTGCAGGGGATTCGGCAGAACTGCAGTCTGTGATGTGCAGGTATCGACAGATGCTTAAATTAGCAAATAGACGGACGGACGGACACAGCGATGGACCGACGGACAGATGGACGGACCGAGAAATCATACCGAGGACTGTCCGAATCTAACTCACCCCCCTGGAGAGACCGACATACAGAGGTGAGAGCATCAGAGAGAGAGAGAGAGAGAGAGAGAGAGAGAGAGAGAGAGTCTCAGGCCGGGACGCGCGGGGTTTAGTGTTCTAGGCGGGGGATCTCTGCAGGAAAACCTGGAGCCCATTTTGTAGTTCCCTGCCATAATCTGGAGTACCCCAGAAGCCGTCCACTCACTAGCACAGCGTGAGGGACGGGCGGGCTGAAAGCCTGCGGGTCACGACAGTGACCCCTATGCCCGGCAGAAAGAAAGAAAGAGAGAGACTCTCTCTCTCGGAGAGAGAGAGAGAGAGAGAGAGAGAGAGAGAAAGAGAGACAGAGAGAGAGAGAGAGGGAGAGGGAGAGGGAGAGCGAGCGAGAGGAAGAGCGAGAGAGAGAGAGAGACACAGGAAGACAGACATGCAAATATGTACATACTAGTAGATATAGGTATAAGCACAGCTATAATATAGATGCACTTAGAAGACTCAGACATACGTAGATGTAGATGGCCACATTCGCCACATGTGTTGGTGCGGCCTAGGCGCCTGGACTTTTCGAAGAACGTGGAGGCCGGAGCCTGTTTTGGAGGTGGTCTAGTTTACAGTAGAAGCCCAAGAGTTGGAAACCCAATAGCCTCGATCCTTAAGAGTAATGTAGAGGGAATCCCAGCACTATTTGGCCTTAATCCGGTTTCCAGCTTTATGGAGATTACTGTAGGATTCCAGAGTTTAGGCTTCAGTTTGACTTTCGGAGAGTTTCAGGGCTTAAGGGTCTCTGGTATCTAGGTATTAGGGCTCCCAACACCCTTAGGGGTTCAGACTAGAGTTCGGGTTGAGGGTTTAGGGTTTCAGGGATTAAGGTGGAATCCGATTGCGCTGCATTGAGGTCCCAACGCTTTGCTGGCAACGGTGGCGTTGTCCCAGCGGGACCCGATCCAGCTAAAGAGGCAGGGCTTAGGGTTTCGGGTCTAGGGCCCTGAGCCCCTAAACCCGAAACCCTATCAAGGTTTGGAGGCAAAGTTCCATGCAACAGGATACCTTGCAGTGAAGACTCATAAGGCTGTGCACAGAGGCGGATTGCAGATCCCTTTTCCCCAATATCCTGGTCGGCGTGTTGCGAGACTCCTTCAACTTTTTGATTGACCGGCTGATCTTGAAGTGTTGCCAGGCTTTTGCGGGCGATGCTGGACAAGGCATGCCCGAAATTGCAGCCAGGTGAAACCAAGAGACAGTAGGATGGGAATGCGCTGAACGATGAGGGCTTCATGTGCGCTTTGCAACGCGATGCCGGAGCAAAGTTGATATGCCTAGGCTTTGAGATGCTTTGGCTCGACCGAAAGGGTTTCTTCGTCTCCCTGGCAGGATCCAGCTGCGAACTTGCAGAAGGTCCTCAACCTGCTAATGCGAGCTGCCGAGTCTTCTAAGTCGTGGGGGTGTGAGTTCCGAGTGCATGCTATGACTACATGCGTCGTTCAGTGCTGGTTTGCTGCACTGGCTGATCAGGTCATGCTTCAACGGTGTGAACTGAACCTGAAAGGGGTAGCGCATAGAAGAAGAACATCTCAGCCAGAACAGAACACAGAGGGGCTGAATCACGGCCTGCAGTTCAAAGCCCAGAGCTGGGTCCTCCTTTGTGTTTGAGCCTCCTGCAAGCTGCAAGGAACGAGAACATGAAGGGCTTCTATGCCGCGACCTAAGCTGATCGTGTTTCGATCTTCTTGCAACCCCAGACCCAAGGCCTCCACCCTAAGCTCTAAACTCTCCTGGCAAGTCTAAGCTCCAGAAATCTATACTCTAATCTTGGAATAGAACATACCACAAAACCCAGTTCTAATTATGAAGGAACCTTATACTAAACCCTTGTAGTATCCCTTGTAGACCCCTTTAACAGGGAACCCTATTCTAATCATTAAGGCCCCTATGTTAAAATCGCTGATGCTCCGAAGCCCTGCAGAGGCCGAGCTGCTGAAAGGGCCGCCTTCGGACATGGTGTGCCTAGGTTTTGCAGCAGTACCCTTTTGCCCTTTTTCTTTTTGGGTTTAGGGTTTAGAGTTTAGGATTTAGGGTTTAGGGTTTAGGGAGACCCTTATTAAAACTATATAGGTAGGAAAAAGGGTACGTACCCCTTATTATGAAGGGGGCTAGCTTGGGAACCGAGGTGCCGAATCGTTTTGCTGGCCTCCTCCAAGGAGGCCATGGGATTCGGGGCATTGAGGGGTTTAGGGGCTTTAGGGGTTTTTAGGGGTTTTGGGAGGTTTTTAGGGGTTTTATGGGTTCAGCGTTTTGGACTTATTGGTTTAAGTGGGTTAGGGCTTTCAGGGTTTATTCACAGACTCGCCACCAAACGCCTTTGCCTTCGTGTGCCCGCCATTTCAGCATGTGAGGCCCTGACGGCCTCCACCCCTCCCCTCGTCAGGGCAGCAGCGTCGTCCTGAAAGATTGGCTAGCAAAGGTTCTGCGCGGAACTCAGATCCTGCTCTGAAGATTGCTATCCTGGATTCCTGGCTTGTGAGATTCGAAGTATCCCTTCGGACGTAGCTTTCCATGGGACTGTACCCCAACCATGGGTCATGACAAGCCGGCTGTGGGAGTTTGCAGTGAAGCCCTGGTCAGCTAGTCCCAATCCTTCGAAAATCCTAGGAACCGGGATGTGCGGAGAGTCCAAAACCCTGCAACCCCTAACCCCACGACCATACATAAACCCTAAACGTGTCTGATGGACCCACCTGGCAGGTCTGGATGAGTTCAACCGACCCGTTCATTTGCTTAAGCTTCACTGTAGAGTGATCTGTGAAGAGAAACCACATTGCCGAATACATATGTCCTGTCTTGGCATAACGGCATAACCAGGCATCGCATGAAACAGCAACATACAACAGCACAGCCACACAAGCAAATGAGGAAGGTCCTACAACAAGAAAAGGCACCCGGACAGCGAACCAAGGGGTGACCATTGGGATCTCATGAATGAGGAGCCACATTAGATCTCCACAGATGCGAGGTCCATTACAAAGAAAGGGCAATGTGAAGCCAAACACGAACCTGTGATGAATTGATTGGCCCCTACAGGTCAGTGCAGCGCGGCCAAAATCCTAGACCCTACACCCTTGCGCTTAAACCTTAAGGCTCAAACCCGTAAGCCCCACTCTGCCCCCCCCCCTCTCTTTCAGGGCCGATCATGGCGACCTTGCGGTGACGCCGCTGGTGAACTTCATGCGCATCCGCCTGCAGCCGGGGCCCCGGCTCTGGGAGATGTTGCTTTGCAACTTTTTTGTTTGGTCGGTTTCGGGTCATGGGATCCAGGGTTTATGGCTTTAGCATCGGCGAAACGGGGTACCTTCAGAGCCCGAACCCCTAAATGTTCGAGATCACTTGTAGTCGAAATCGCGGCAGCAGCTGCAGGCTCCGCAATTCTACACCCCAAGCCGGCGATTTCTGCTGTAAGCCCCATATGCTAAACCCCAAACCCAAAGCCCTAGCTCTCCGGTGTTGAACTATGGCGGAAAAAAGGAGCAAAACATCCTAAACCCTGAACTAGAAGGGTTAGGGTTGAAAGACGGGGGAAGTAGGTGCGACACTAAGCACTTAGCGTCCCGCGCGGACTGAGGAGCAGTAGCACACAAAATCATTCCTCCGCCTCCACCACGTTGGTGGACGCGAAGAATCTGGCTCTGCCGGCAAACCTGGAGGAGGCCAAAGCATGTTTGAGGATTCCCGGCTTTGAGTTTGTTTCCAGGCCTTTCTTGGGCCGTTTAGGGCCGTTCCAGGGACTCTTTGCTGCCAGGAGTTTTCGTATTTTCTGCTTTCAGCTCTCAGCCCTGCTCGCTACTTTCGCATCTGTGTCTGGGTTGGGGGCTCGTTTGAGAGGCAGCGAAGGCTTCAAGCTCGAGGCTCGAATGTTGCAGGTTTCAGGGGTGGGAACTCACACGCTCTGTATACGTGTTCGACAGCGCTAATACAAGACGAACCCGCCGCTGGCTCAGAACGTCTTCCTGAGGAAGCATGAGTTCGACATCCGTACAGATGAGCAGGGAATGTGGCTGCGGTACAGGATCTTCATCAAACCGCAGCAGAGCACTTCACCGCAACTCTTGGCCATCTAAGTTTCGGATGTCCGGACATGCACGAGGTAGCGGCTGGTACGGCTGGGCAAGGCCCTCCCCAAAATTAGCGACGAGCCTTAGACTTACTATAGACGTTTGACTCAGAATTCCTGAAAAGACTTCGTCCTGCCGTAGCTTGAGTCTGATCCTTGAAAAGCAAAGCTCTCTCCTTGACGCACATGGGGCAATGGAGCTTGTTTCCCCCATCGATGGTGACTTGGCCGGCAGCGGCTTGAACATTCGGGACATCTACGAAGAAGGGTCTACTCTTGTTCTGCGTGTCCGGTTACCTCAAGGTCCTCTTGGGCCATCAACGGCCCTAAACCCAAGCGCTGCATACGATGGCCGTGACCCGCTCCAAGTGGAGGGCAACCTGGTTAATCGCAAACCAGAAACCGAGACAATCCTCTAATATAGGGGCCTTAATAACTACCTATACTGTTTTGGGGTTTCCTTATACTATAGTTGTAGTTTAAGGACTCCAAAACCCTGTTCTATTAAGGCCCGATAGTACGTATTCGACGTCGGGTGTCGATGGTGGCTGTGCATAAAACGGCGTAATGGGTGGGGCGATCTAATGTAAAACTATTCGAAACCCGAGACCCCGAACTGTAATCTTTAGGCCATACTGTTGATGGACAAAATCCTGCACTACCCATTATAAGGAATATACCATAGTTCCCATAGTTTAGAGTCCTTAGGTCCATAAGCAGTATCAGCCCTACGCCTTCTTACAATGCAGTAGTCCGTCTGCATAGGAGGACCTCCCCGACTCTAAACGCCCGAAATCTGAGAGAGCAGTAGCTCCTAGTATAGAAGCCAAGCTTGAATAGCTACGCACGAACATGCATTATTCCTTGGGACCCTTGTAATCGGTGTACAAGAACCCCATTCAAAGGACCATAAGGCTCCTACATATGAAACCTTTTTTTCAGGTATCCAGGGAGATGAGACCTGAACGTTAGACCCCAGTGTCCGACATAGTAAGATCATTCTGTTCTGTGGCTTCCTTATTCAAATGATAGTATGATGGGCCCCAAAACCATAATATTCTGATTATTGGGGCCCCTATACCCTAAATCTTAAACCCCAAGCCCTAAACTCTAACCCTAAACCCTATACCCTATACCCAAACCCTAAACCCTAAACCCTACTTTTCTGGCCTCAAACCCTGAACCGATCGACTCCTAAGGCGAAGCCGTTGTTGTGCTCTCCCCTCGTGCAGCGAAGCCGGCGCTGCCACCGGCCCGTCTGGGAGCCCAAGGGTTGATGATATAAATCTTGCATTACCCATAATAAGGAGTATATACCATAATTCCCATAGCTTCGGGTCCTTAAGGTAATGCAGGATTTATATCATCAACAGAAGCGCTCTGATAAGGGTGCTAAGGGGAAGGGTCTTAGGGCTGGGGTTTCAGGGGTTTGGGGTTTAGGGCCGAGGGCATTAATGTTTCATTGCTTGGGATGTGGAGGGGTGGACCTGGTAAAGCCGACCGCATCGCAGCATGGATTCGAGGGGCCTCGACAATTCAAGCATCCCAGAACACGAAACCCCAAACCGTGGCGCACCTGCATCCTTCTTACGCCAAGGCAAAGGCTGCGATCCAGATGTCATCGGCCGACTAGTGTCTCTCTACCAGGCACGGGGCGTTGCGTCGTTACTGCTCTTGGCGTCGCGATCGTGATGTTTTTATGTCCTCCTTTTTGGCTTCCTCCTCCTCCTCCTCCTCCTCCTCCTCTTCCTTCCCGTCCGCCTCCGCCCGCGGCTGATTCAATCTTTCCGGCCTGGCGTCTGTTGAGGAGAGGGCTGTAGTGGTAGTCGCACTAGCCGTCGTCATTGAGGCCCGCAGTTTGCGCTACTCAGCCTCAGCTTTGGCGCTTCTTTCCGGTATTTCTGAAGCCCTAGCAAACCAAGCTGGGAATTCTGCTCGTTTTTTCCGGAACTTTAGAAGACGGGTTTCTTAACCCAGGTTTCCCAAGACAGAATTTCTTCACTTTAGTTGGTTTCTAGAAAACTGGAGTTTGCATTAGCGGTGGTGGTGCTAGTGGTGGCGGCGGAGGTGGTGGTGGTCGTCGCGGTCGTTTTTCTTCTTCTTCTTGCAATTGACTGCCAGTCCTGCTTCGTCAATACGGTTTTAAGATAGTGATGATGAGCACAAAGGGGAGGTTTCAGAATCATGATAGGTAGCGGTGTTACTAGTATATGCATTAAGGACCTGCGGTAGGTGGCCCCTGCTCATACAAATCCCGATCCGAAGTTTTCACCACAAATCGCGCTGCTCCCACGTCTGAAACTGTGGTATTCTGTGAGCTGGCTGTCTAGGGCATGAGGTCAGGAGCGGGCAATATTGTTCTGTAAGGCATTGAGCTATGACGTCACATTTTGCCTTATGTTGTGTTTTTGCCTTCTCCCCAAATACGCAGCCACGGACGATATGCCAATTTTTCACGACGCCTACACCTTAAACACTAAATCCCAAACCCTAAACCCTATCAGACTGAGTTGCGGCTTGGAGCTTCAAACCTGCTAGCCTCGGGGCCAATTGTTCCGAGCGTGTTTCTTCTTTTCTGAAGAATATTGTTAATCGTCATCGTAATGATCTAGTATTATTGTAGCAGCGTGTTCGAACAGTATTATAGACTACAGTGGTGAGGAGTATACCATACTAGGGGCCGAAGATGTTGATACTAACTGCAACAGCTTCCACATGACACCGTGTTTTCGGTTGCTTCGCGGTGCCAGGGGGGCTTGGAGCCTGCGCATCCGCGGCTGCCAAGGCCCGGCAAGCCCCTGGGAGTCGGGTTCAGATGCAGTTTAGGGTTTAGGGTTAAGGGTGTTAGTTTGGGCTTCTTGGATAGTCGTACTTCATGAAGGGATCAGAACGAGTGCTGTTAGGATATCTGCGTGGCTTGAGACTCGGGATGCGGCTCTCTCCCTGGCTCGGAAGCAGGTCGCCAAGAAGCGCGTCGGGCCAGGGGCTTGTCTTTCTGAGCTTTACAGGGCTCCGGGGTGCTTCGGTTGATGATATAAATCCTGCACTACCCATAATAAGGAATATACCATAATTCCCATAGTTTAGGGTCCATAAGGTAATTCAGGATTTCTGTCATCAACCATTGCTCGGGTTCCTCGAACCTGCACTCCTTTGGCTTTCGGAGTGACAAGTATCCCAAGCCGTAAACCTTAAACCCTGGGCTTACATCCCGAACACTAGGCCCTGAGCCCGTGAACACTGTCTGCACCTTGCTCCGCCCAGGGCTTCGGACCTCGCATAGGGACCTTAATGATTAGAGGACAGGAGTTTGGGATATATCACACTATAGCTACCTACAGTAGGGAGTAATATGGGGGGATCCGATTATCAGGTGTTAAGATCTTCAGATTATGTAGATCTGACAATTTCAAGGCAGCACGCACAGCCCGAAATCTGACCAAAACTCCTCTTCCACGTCTTGTAACCTCTTGTACTCCCGAGCCTGGCACATGTAACTCTAAACCCTAAACCCCTAAACCCAAAGCCCCTAAACCCAAAGCCCCTAAACCCTAAACCCCTAAACCCTAAACCCCTCAACCCTAAACCCTAAACCCTAAACCCCTAAACCCTAAACCTGTAACCAGAGCCCCGAGGGTCTGAGCACTCTAACCTCACCTTTCCAGGCTCGCCGAAGAGACCACGACCGAAGGTGCGGAAGTTTCGGGCCTCATGGCAGAGGGCATGTATGATTGTGCTTTTGAATAAGGCTCATATGAAACAAAGTGTGGAAGAAATTTCAGAGAATTCGGGATCCTAGAACAGAGCCCTAAAAAGGCTAGAAGCCGTGCTAAAGGACGACTTTGGGATCCTTTTCCTTATCGGCTTCCTGGCTCTGGCACGGAAGGTGCGCTTGCCGCCCGTGGCCGTCCCGATATCGCCTGAACAAAGGTGCGGCTCTAACCTTAAGGATTCCGACACGGGGGATCCTGTGGAGTTTTAGTCATCCTACAATTTGGGAGTATATCGGGTTACTGTAAGTAAGGGATACGATAAGGGTACTTTTATATACGGGTAGGGCCCTTCTAATAAGGACCCTGCCAAGTTGTAGTTGTTTCGCGGAGTGGCAGTGGTTGCTTAATCGGCTGTGTGGAGGGAAGAGCCAGGCGAGTCGTGAGGTCAGTCCCTGAATCCCAGGATGCCACTAAGCCCCATCCTAAGTATCTGTAAAGCTTGCAGCAGCAAGAGGAACTTCTACAACTTACACTCATGACGCGAAAACACCCATAGTAGCAACTGCAACCCAAACAGCAAACAGAACCTGCGGCCCTCCAGGCAGGGGACCTGGGTGCGAGCCCCGGGTTCAGCGTTTGAGGGGTTTAGGGTTCAGGGTGTCGATGTTGCTGATCCTTTGTGCCTGGGGGTTTAGACTTCTGCTCCTTTTTCAAAATCCGGCAACCTCATGATCCTTCGCATCTTTGGGCTTGGCCGTGTGGGGTCGGCGAGTTCATGAGTGGGCATGTGAAGCCTCGAAATTGTAAGACTGATTCGAAGCCGAAGATGCTTCGTAACCATGCGATCAGGTATTCCTGTCTGTATGCACTTCTCCTAAAGAAG